GACACCCATTCTTTTTCAGGCATGCCGATAGTTTTTTTTTTCGTTAGCTGGCTGGGTACGAATAAGAGTCTCAGATAGAAGGATTCGTTTATCAAACAGGCGGCAAAATAAGAGCTACTTTTCCACAGTAGACGTCATGAATTAGAGTAAGTGAAAAAATGATGGATTTTCCTAATGGGTAAATGCATAAAAGCAAAGTGATGTGATGAATATTTCCCGTTGGAATTTCTTTCTATACTCGTCATGTATGCATAGCTTGTATAGTAATATATTTACGTAACATTTCTTGGGGTTTACTGAAATACCAAGTTTAACTCATTTGATGTATCGGTAATATTAAATCTGACATCATCAAAGGTCCATGACTGGCCAAATGCTCAGATAGCAAATATCCTGTTCAGTCGCGGGAACCTCGTTCGGGCATAGGTTATTTGGCCCTGTGGGTTTTATAGAAGCACGCGCGGAAAATTTCCAAAAAGTAAATAAAAATTGGGGGACCTTAACCTTCGACTTTAAGAGGTGAACGCGACAGGAGTATTTGTTTTTCCTAGTGCGTATTTCAAACATTTAGTTCACGAAATCATCTCGGACTCGATATGCACCCACTACGTGTGCTGTTTTAACTGTTTTAACTGTTTTGCTGTGCTAAGGAGTGCAGTAGCGCATGTGCCTTTTGTAGTGGATGGCTGGCTTTAAGCGATGAAGTCATTATCATATTCCCATGTTCTGACACCCTATGACAATGTACGCTTGTAACACGCACTATCATGGCCATCTTTCATGTTATATTGCGAAGCGTATATACAGGATGCGTGTATTTGTAAAGTATGAAAGCTACTTTAGCTGCATTTCCAAGCAGAGGAAGGTACTTTCACTCTATTCACAAGCAGAGCCGTGGTTGTGTGGTAGAACTCCCGCTTTCAACGAAACCACCCAGGCTTGATCTCCACTCATACGTAGTTTTTTTTTACTATTTGTTTCATTTGCATCTTTCTCAATTTTTGATCACGCAAACATGCTTATTTGTTCGGTCATGCAAAGATGATGATTTCTCACACACAGCCAACGACGCCAACGCCAGAATATTTGCGAAATGAACACAATAATGCTATTGCTTTAATAAGTGACATATGAGGCAGTGCTGCTCGGTCTTGGGTATTTTTCCCTTTTGTCTGGTGGTGGCTATCATTGATATCTCAACAAGTGTCACATTCTGTTGAGCCCCCCTTCAGAAATAGTTTATTTAAAGTCATAAACTCTTCATCAGGTGCAAAGTCATTCAATAAAAATAGTGGCATCATATTGTTCGTGCTTTAACCGTAGTAAGTTGTGCGTGTGCAGTTTAGGGTGTTCGTTTTATTATCGAGTGGCATCACTGTTGCTGTTGCTCCCTCTGTACACGCAATATTCATCGTACATTACTGATGAACTGGCTGTACTTCCTTGTATATTACTGCGGTGAGATGAAAACCCATGTTCAACTTCCACGCTGCTTCGTCAAAGTGTTTGCAGATAGCGCAAGTCATAAGTGACGCACTAAAAAGAGAACGTTGAAAGCTGTCGTACCAATTCGATACTGATTCTGTTTTGTGTTTCTTGCCCAACGACAACAGTATAAGCTGATATACTGGCGCTATTACGTCGAGGAGTTAGTCCGATAGCCCCCTTTGGTCAGTGTGCTTGAGTTTAACTTCAGCAAGGGCCACCAACAAGCATTCGGTTCAGAGGGCTGCGCTTTCGTTACACTACGATTCTTATAGTGAACGCCCTCGTTGAGCGAGATATTTTTATACTTGCTGGTGCACGGCGCAAAAGGGTTTTCATTCATTTATTTATGAGCGTTTTGTTCGGAAATATATGCCAGAGATGAGCTTTTATCTACATTCTAACCCAGTAATCAGAAATATTAATGAAACTCTAGTGCACCTATCTAAATGCATTTTAAAGAAGAAAAGTAGTTGTGTTTGGTATACACCACACTAAAGATTATGTAACGCACGCCACACTTGAGAAAAAGAGTTGACATAATGAGACAATTGACTATCTTATAATCTCAACATTTTAAGAATTATTGATGGTAACCTAAAGTAAAAAAAAGTCCTTCTCGAACACTTTGTGAGCATGGCTAAAAACTATTTGTATATATACGTACATTGTAGTTCTCTTATAAAAGCAGCTTGCATTACACAGGAGGACAAAGCTTGCTTATTTATTTACTTGCCGGCCCACTTAACGCCCAGAAAATGGCTGCAGAAAAATATGAACACAATGAACAAGTCTAGCCATTTGTGTTTTTCCTTTGGCCATGTGTGTTTTTTCCTGCTTGGTCGTGCAGCGTTACTTCTTTGTACTTCAACCACGAGTATATCCAGAAGAGATCAAGATATCAAAGGAAGAAATTCATAAAGAATGCTGTCAATTTCTCTCAATTCGGCATGTGAATAGCACTAGGATATTGTGCCGAAGTAATTCGAAACAAAGATTTCTGTTGCCTGCAACAAAACATTTTAGTTAAATTGACGATTTATATCTCAAGAGATTGCCGATATCATGTATGAGAGGTCAATACACCGTGCTTATGAAAACAGACTAAAAACAGAGAAAATGCGAGCCCAGATAATAACAACATACATACATACATACATACATACATATATACATACATACATACATACATACATACATACATACATACATACATACATACATACATACATACATACATACATACATACATACATACATACATACATACATACATACATACATACATACATACATACATACATACACTCAAAAAAGAATTATGATCTGTTATTACCATTGTTAACGCAAACGAGCCTGAGTTATCGAAGTGGGTTGGTAACCCCGGAAATGTTGGAGACAAAACGAACACTTCAGCACACGAATCAACTTTACCAAAGACGGGCAAAGAGTTTATCAGAACATGCACGTAGCGTGCTTTCCTGTCCGCATCAATCACGCTAATAAAAGTTGCCCCTGTGTCACATTTGACAGCCCAGATGCATACCTTTGCTATGCTGGCTGTGGTTTCTTAAGGTAGGCTCTCACAAAATGTCCTTTGTTACCACAATAGTGGCACTTGAAAGATGTGGCTGCACACGTCGACCTCGCATGCGCGTCCGCTCTGCAGTAGGGACACCGTCTCCCATTGTGTTGCGGACGTTTCTTGTGGCCCACGGCGTCCACGATGGCGCCTAAGTCATGAAGTTCAGGCAGGCTACCGATGTGGACCACTTCGGGTCGAAACCTCTGCTGCTGCTGTCGCACTGTTTTCTTGGGGCGAACCTTGGTCAAGGCCGTAGCCAATGTCAGATGCTAATCCGTCGCAAGGCCTCGGATATTGGACCATTTCGGAGCCCGACAACAGGCCGGTGTCGGATGAGGCACTTCTTCATATCCGCGAAGTCGCAGTGGTCTGCCAGCCAGTGAGGTGCGGTTGCGAACCGATCCACTGGTCGGTCTGGCCGTTGCTGGCGTCAGTAGAAGCGGGCACTTTCATAAACAATCTTCCTTTCTTTGACGAAATTACTGTCGATCTTCTGCTTGACGACAAGATAAATTTTTGGTTCTCTCCGGGTAGTCCCAAATGTTGGAAATAGTTCGCTGGCTTCGCAGCGCATTTTGTAGAGGAGCGTTCGTTTCTGGGCCTCTCCCTAACGTTCGTAGAGAGCTGTGGTGAAGTGGTGGTCATTGAAGTAGTCGATCCACACCGGCCTTTCTGACGTTTTGTCGAAATTCACCAGCGGTGGCTGCTGGAACCCGGCTATTACCATTGCAGGCTTTATGACATTTTGTGGGAATCCTGCCTTCCAGGGTGTCAGCAAAATAGTTGGCCAGTCCACACTTCTGACATCGTGTTGTCACACTGCGTACGAACGCGTCGTGTATGCGTGTCGCTATAACAGCAGACGAGCTCCGCTCTAAGGGACACAAATGAAAAACCCACCCTCTTCAATCTGCTGGCTGAAAATATACATTCCGGGGCACGTGGCAGGGGTAGCTTGGTCAATGCCACCCAGAAGATTATCAGGTCTGCTCACCATGACGTCACTTGTTTGATCCGAGCGAACGCACGTACGGAAGTCTGGTAATTCATTGCCACAATCGTCTCCCGTTAAACGATAAAGCGTCATGGCAAGTTTTACATGCTTACCAGCTTTATTCTGCCTTTTGGGTAAAAAAAAACACTGGTTTAGGTAAAGTATTGCGATTTACAGCACTTGGAGACTCACCTGTGAGCCATTTCTTTCACGAAAAAAACAAAAATAGATGCTAACGAACGTGTGGTCAATCTATAGGAACGAAATTTCATGGACCAGCAAATTTACAAAATAAATACAGTAAATGTTATGCGTTATTTATTTATTTACACACGCACGCACAGACACACTATCTAGAGCATGCAGAGAATATTTTCCCAACTTATTTACAAAGCTTCTGTAGTTTTTTTTGTACTTTTTCGAACATCTGTCTTCTTATACACATAGTTATTGAGGAGAGTTCGTGCTGCTATCACTAATATGATATTCAGAACAATATCAGGGTGACGACCATCAGGAAGAGAAAAAAATATTTCGTTTCTCAAAAAAACTTTTTGCGACCAACACAAGAAGTAGATGCATTACACACCTGAAAACCAGTTAAGAAAGTGCTTAACTGTTAGTGTCTACGTACATCTACCTTTTCATAAGAAAGGGAGAAGAAAAAAAGTATATAAGAAAGGTAGGGAGGTTAGCTGGACTAAGTCCAGATCGCTATCCTACACGTGGCAGAAGGGAATGAAGCAGAGAGAGGAGGAGACACATTGCACATAACACACGCACACCGCACACACAATTCAGGCTTCACAGATGATTGCACAGTGATGTTTCCCTCATGAATTGCAGAAGGGCTCGTGTGGCTTTCTGGGCTGAAGTACTTGTTAGGCCACGCTCCCAAAATTTTCTCCACAGTAAACGGTTGATCATCCAGCCTTCTTAAGGACACTGAAGAGTCAGGCGATCTTCTTCAAAGTCTGGACAATGGCACAGAACGTGGTGGAGAGTTTCTACGCAATAGCCATTATCACAGTTGGGGGAGTCAGCCATACCAATGCGATAACTTGATGAATTGACGAAGGCAATGCCGACCCACAACCGACTCAGCATTGAAGCATTCCGTCTAAAGCCTTTGATGGCAGCTGTAATTGAAGTAATGAAGCATGGTTCTGTGGACATCAAGTGGATTCCGATGCATAAGTGTGATATAATGCGCGTTGTGGTGAAGTTGTTTTGAGGCATCGACCCTTGACAGGGGTATGAGCAGTGTGGATGCTCCGTCGTAGGCCCATCAGGCGGCGTTGTCGGCGAGGTGGTTATTGATTGATATGTGGGGTTTAACGTCCCAAAACCACTATATGATTATGAGAGACGCCGTAGTGGAGGGCTCCGGAAATTTAGACCACCTGGGGTTCTTTAACGTGCACCCAAATCTGAGTACACGGGCCCTACAACATTTCCGCCTCCATCGGAAATGCAGCCGCCGCAGCCGGGATTCGAACCCGCGCCCTGCGGGTCAGCAGCCGAGTACCTTAGCCACTAGACCACCGCGGCGTGGCGGCGAGGTGGTTATCACCAATCATACAGTGACCAGGCAGCCATTGAAAGATCGTGGCATGTCTTTTGTTAGTGGTCCGATGACAGATTTTATTGATTTCAGATACCATCTGATGGTAGTTCCCGCGTCCTAGACTTCTCATACATTGAAGGGCCGCCTTAGAGTCACAAAAGATAGCCCACTTAGCAGGGGATTCTGGCTTAACAAATTTAATTGCGGCTAGACTAAGTTGCTGACTGCTATATTACTGGAAAAACGTGATACGCACACCACCAAGAAAATACCATGCAAAACACCGATGCACTAAGTAATGCAACAGCATTTCTTTCATTTTTATCAAACAAGTGAACAAAGGTAATACAAATCCACGGCCCTAATCACCAGTTAAAAAATGTTTACTGACCCTCAAGGGAAAATGCCTTTTCTAAAACGTTCTGCTAGGCACATTTATTATTTATTGCCAAGGCCTACGTCAACAAGTAGAAGCACACACTACCTTTTTATTCTAAAGCAAGATTGACTGATTGATTGATATGTGGGCTTTAACGCCCCAAAACCACCATATTTATAAGAGACGCCGTAATGAAGGGCTCCGCAAATTTCGACCACCTGGGGTTATTTAACCTTCACGCAAGTCTGTGCACACAGGCCTACAGCATTTTTGCCTACATCGAAAATGCAGCCGCCGCAGCAGAGATTCGATCCCGCGACCTTGGAGCAAGAACAGAACATGATGGCGATAAGGAATGACTTCAAAATAATGTAATACGGACACACGTACCTTCGAGGGACGAATTAATCGGTTGTCGACGTCAGCTTGGCGAACGAGCACGCTCCCATTCCGTTCTTCGATCGTTTCTAAGAAGCAAGAACACTCGCAGCATCGGTCCCTTTGCCGCGACAATCCACACCACAACATCACCCAAACGTTCGGATTTCCAGCCGTGCAGATTGCGAATATCCAGTGCAAAAAACGCACCACATATTTACGCTGCCGTTAACGCACACAGAAAAAGATTATCTTCTCAAGTCGCCAACAAGAATACAAGCAGGCCGCGAAAGATTTCGTTGGGCTCGGCAGTCCATGTATATCGAGCGACCGGAGCAAGCGTAGGCACGTCTGTGCAGCGAAACACACTTGTCAAAACGGAGTGCCGTCAGAGCCCGTGGCCGACACAGTGTGCCAGGCTGAAGTTATCTGTAGGTGGCATCTGCTTGGCGCACACCGTTGTCGCCCAGCTATCAGTTGTGACGTCACATGCCGAACACGGACAAGCGGTAACCGCACACCAGCCCAAAGATGATTGGCTTTTCCCGCCATCCGGGCTTGGTCGACCAGGGCCTGTTGTGACACTGGGTCAAAACTGGGACACAGAAATGCTTCTAGCCTTTAATGCCATCATACAGCACACGACTAAACCCATTTCACTTCTGCCGAAATGTGATCACCTTGGCTGGGATCAGATCCGCGACATTCGATTAGGTAACCGAACAGAGCAACCGCAGTGCAACCATGGCAAATGAACTTGCCTGCGCTTATTAAGTATTATTGAGGTTATTAAAACAATAATATTATCCTGGATAATGATATTAGTAATAATATTCATAATAACGTTATTTATTAAACTTATTATTACAATAATATTATCATAGATAATGATAATATTAACATTATTCATAATAACTTTATCGATGGTTTTAGGTCGCAAAACCACGATATTATAACGAGAGATGCCACAGTGCAGGGCTCCAGATACTTGGACCATCTGGTGCTCTTTTACGTACGCTGACATAACGCAGTACACGGGCCAATACCGTGTCGCCGTCATCGAAATGCTACTACCATGACTGGGATCCAACCCTCAATTTTCGGTTCAGCAGCAGAGTACCCAAGCCTCTGGTGCACCGAGACAGACAACGTGCCTGTGGAGGCTTCGCTTCGAACTGCGAACGCACCACTTTTTTTTCCTGTGAGCAACTTGTAAAACTATCAGTGCAATTTCGGAAAACTTTGCTTATTTAGTTCTAAAGTTCTTTTATGAGAGAGGAGATTTTTAAGCATGACTGCTCTCGAGCTCCTCGAATAAATGTTCCGTTGTAATACATTTCATAGGCTTTGTTTGCCAAAGAAAAAATTATATCATATCTGCGGAGTGAATGATGGTGAATGGGACAAGACAAAGCGTCCATACGTTCCTCCATGTGTCCAACCATCCCTGCGTCCATTCATTCGTGCTTCCGTCGGTCCTTCCATGCGTGCGTGCTTCTGTCTGTACGCCTGGGAGTCCATCCGTGCATTCGTCCATCTGTCTGTCTATGCATGTTTCCACCCGTCCTTCTGTCTGTCTATCTGTACCTGCTTCCATCCATCCGGTCCTCTTTAGGTCCATCCATTCGTCCGTGCCTCTGTCCGTCCGTCCGTGCTTCCATCCGTCCATTCGTGAGTCCGTCTGTGGCCTTCATGTGCTCTTCAGTCCGTCCATCCATGTGGCCGTTCATCGGTCCATCCATGATTCCGTCTATCCCTGCGTCCATCCATCCATGCTTCTGTACGAGCTTTTGTCCATCCATCCGTCCATGCGTCAGTCCATGCGCCCGTGAGTCAGTCCGTGCCTCTGTTGGTCTGTCCACCTGTCTGTCTGTCCGTCTGTTCATCCGTTCATCCATATATTTGTTTCTTTCTGTGTGTGGTTGTTCTTTCGGCGCGAAGTTGAATATTGAATCAAGACATCACCAACTAGCCCAACAGTGAGTTCTACTAGAATCGGCTCCTTCTATGCCCTTGTTGCGTTGAGCATATACGTCGCGGGTGGTTGGAGTGCATGAGAACTAATGAGAAATAAACTCGAAAAGTTTCTAACAGCTAAAGCATAGACTGGAGCTGCCTTTAAAGCTGTATTCTATCTCGTTGGTGTTTCGGAGCAGTAGTTAAATCTCTGGGTAATAGATATATTGGTGGTCCTCAGTCGAGAGTCAAATTACGAAGTAGTGATTACATACATGGCTGGCCTGATAACGTAAAATAGGGAATGAAAACGTAAGGAGCATGTCATTTCTAATTCTTGAGAAACGAGAGGAGGAGGAGGAGGAATAAATGAGGAAGGACAACGAGAACTTCATACGAAAGTAATGACGTGTTTGCATCACTCACCGCATAGCGTCTGCTTGAATTGATAGACCCCGATGACTCACAGCACACCACACATTGACAACGATAACTGCACGCGATACTTCGAGCCTGTAGGTGCTTCTAGGAGCCCTTATAATGATACTTTTCGTGAATGCAACTGGTACCAGTGGGCGGCTATGATTCACGACAGACAGAAAAATAACTTTATTGGGTCCTGAGAAACGCTACTCCTTTAGAGCAACGTCGCGGGCCGCTCCCACGTAGGAACTGGGAGGCCTCACCGCCGCATCGTGGGCTCTCTGGACAGCCCGTACTTGAGGTAGCAACTCTGAACTTCGTAAGGCAGAGTCCCAGTCTTCTTCTGTGAGCCGACTTGGGCCCCGTAACTAATTCATGTTTGCCTCTTTCTTTAGACAGTTCCCAACCATATTAGGTGCTTGCGGTAACGTATACCATTAGACTTTTAATGAAATATTGCAAAGAGTATGCTACATCTACTTTGCTTATTACTGATTCAAAGTACCCTTATAATATACAATGCCCCAGATGGACATATACTAAGCGCACATATAGTGCCTCAATAAACTTGAACGGATCCCCGTCCTATAATAGCTTCTTAGACGCTCGTAATATTGGGATCAAATTTCTTCGACAAATTTGGTAAGCAGATGCACGGAGAAAAGCAACAGTGCTCAAAAGCACCGTTGCTACCTGTGGGTGTCTGCAAGATTACGTAGTATATATGTCACAAAAGTTAGTAGGTGACCAAGAAACTTAGTAGCAGCTCCTTTTACTAACTGTTTGCTTGTGGTTACAAGCTTGCTACAGTTCTTTTCTTCTTAAGAGTGCACAGCTAAGGAAAATTGATGCGACCGTGAATAGACACGAATGATTTATCGCACATAATTCAAGTTTAAAGTGCGGCTTAAAATGCAAGGGTTCAGGCCGCTTAAGGTAACTTACGGTGTGGCCGAATTAAAACCCTAGCTTGAATTTCATGGAACGGGCTGCATGAACACCTTCGCGTAAATGCAAGTTTTGTAAGTGCTACGTAAGAGAGAACACCACATACTGCAACACGCAACAACTCGACTATCACGGTAATTTAAGAGACACGTGCCGGGGCGGATGAATGCACCGGCATACGTTAAGATACCCGCAAAGAAAACACGTCTGATATGAGTCATAATATATAATGATCCCGTAGGTGGTGAAATCAAAACGTACCAAAAATGAAACCGTCTTTGACACGTTTACTTATTAGTGCACAATGAACAAGCCCGCTGGAAAAATGAACATCAATTAACAGGTCTCAACTTACGCATCTTATGCGCCATCAACGTTTACAGCTAACAAGCGACATCTTCACCAAACAATTATTTAATCAAAATAGTGACCTATTGCAAGCGGGGCCCCTTTCCAACACCACCCACCTCAGGAAGGGGCCACAACGACTCAGTTCAACTTTGCCACTGCGTTCAAGCTACACATGCATACTATGCATCACACTCCGGACAAAAAAGAAAATAGTGCTAACGTCAGTGCTAATAGAACTAAATGATGCCACTAAACTTCGCTTTCTCTTTGCAGTTCAACAACAAGAATTCCTTTTATATGCTTAACTATAAACAGCATGCAAAGATAATAGTCAGTCGGGCTTCCCTTATGTGCAGTACGAAAATCTTCAATTCTTACATCTTGCTCATGAATCATCTGCTGCTAAACTACGCCCGGTTTTTTACGTCAGCAGCGCATATTTCATACGTTACTCAATGCAATTGCACTAATGAGCACGTACGTCACCAACACGTGCCCAGTAGCCTCTCCCTGTACGATTCTGCACTTGCTTGCACCGAAAGAGTGGTATTTCGGTGGCCGAATGCTGCTGCTTGGCTTGCCCTGCATTATTTGTTAAGCGCCACGTCATGTCTTTGAGGCCAATGAATGGCACTTCATTAATGAGAATCGACACATCACTCGTACGTGTAGGTGGCTGCAGAAACCGGTGTTCCTCAGCCCCATTGTGTGGCGTGATTCCCTTAACCACCGCATACAAACACACAATTATAACTAAAAAAGTCGTTCTGGTGCCGACGTTCCCGCTCTGTGCACTGTTTCCCGTTTATAATGAGGGCACGCTGGTGATTGTTAGCCGTGACTGGTCTGCGGTTGATTCGAATGCTTAGTCATCATTTTGTTTTCTTTTTACGGATTGATGTCTACAGCGACAACTATATAGCATTCCTAACATTGCCTACATATATCACCAACAGGCAATAAGTGAGCATGGTATCTATGATTCGAATGCAGAATTGTTTTCACCTTTCCATTTCGCTTTCTACTATGTTTTGGCATTTTAATCCACCATACACTACTTCTTCACAAAGGACTAGCCAGGCGTTGTGGCGCTGCTGGTAGCTGTTGCCAGCTTTCTCTCTCTTCATTTCCACTGTGCCGTAAGTCGTTTATATATGAATGTCAAATAATAATCACAATAATAATACTGCTACCACTACTACTCTTAACACTACCACTACTGCTACTACTACTACTAATAATAATAATATTTTTACGCTAATAAAATAATGCATTAGGACCACTTGAAGACTAAAGCCGCCGTCATTTTCTTCTCTGCCGTTGTACTAATCCTGCTCCGCTACTCTTCAAAATCGGTCTCCAGTTAACATAATATTGCGCTACCTCCATGATGGAACCTTAGGCCAAGCTGCGTTGCCTTGTCAATACGTCACCATCTGATGTGAGTTCATGTGACTTGGTGACCCCAAAGACGTCCTCGTTACGTCACGTCACCGTTACGTAATTGATGACACCATCACGTGATTATATTACTGGGTGACTTGTCCCAGCCACTGCGAGACGGGGACTTTCAAATTTCACGTTTAATTAGGTATTTAAGGGTTTTCATTTAACAGTAATGCCGAGCCAGTAATAGTGGGTTTTGTGATGGCACATACAGTCCACTCGATCAGCTAACAATTAACTTGATCACAAGGATTAGGGATCACCTTTTGTGACGCTGTGTTGTCTTAATGAAACAGAAAAGTGTAGCTGCTCATCAGGTATAGTGACCATACCACACAGAAAACTATATAATTGTGCGACTTAGAGGACGTGCTGAAGTTGAGGTAGCCCACTGAACTCCAGCAGAAACAGAAGTGTGAAAAGCAACTAAGAATTTTTCCATAATGTGAGGTGGGGCCGATGTGTTTTTTGTCCTTAAAGGTACTTGATAAAAGGCTCGAATTGTTCCAAAGCAGTGCCATTGCGGACGAAGACACCACTTTCCGTAATATGTCGTGTAATTTTAGATGTTACGTGGCTCTGACTGCGGTTACTCCAGCAATCAAAGGGACAAAATTTTTATTTTTATTCGGTAATTCAGTGCCCACTGAACCAAAGCACCGGCTGCGCAATGGTAGAAGCAAGCGCTGCTGACTTTTTTATAGTTTTTCTTTCTCTTTCTTCCTTCTCCTCTCTCTCATTTTCTACTCCCTTTTTTCATTATTCTAGCCTAGGGCAGCGAACCTGGCAGGCACTTGCATGGTTGACCTCCCTGCCTTCTTCCTTGTTGTTTCGCTTCCATACGCTCAAAATTTCCCCGTCGCTTGGATTATGGTTATCGGAAGTTTGATATTTACGTGAAGCACCTCGGCTATGAAGATACCTTGCTGCACTTCTTGAAGACGGTAACAGAAAGCTCCTGATCGGTAATCAAGGCTCCGCAAAACATGCGAGCCAAACCATAGAACACACCTTGTGGCCTCAAATTTACAAATAATTTTCAAAATTAGCTATAAAATTTTCTTTCTTCTGTCTATAGATGATGTCACAAATCCAAATAAACATGTCATAAGTCCAATGTCCTTAGCCATTGGCTTATTTGGGCATTGTGAGTAAACAAAAAGTAAACGACTCAGAAATATTTGTAAAATGGTACAATTCTATATAAGACTGTGCGTCACGCATGCGGACAACGACCCTTAGACCGAAAAAAGTGTTTTTTTCTTTATTCAACCAACACACATAATAAAACACAAAGTACGTAAAATACATTATGGAATGCCTTTGATCAGTTCGCAAGAATACGGACACTATGATTTATAAGCTTCTCGCATGAAGCACAATCACACTGATAAAAAGCGAACATTTGCTAAATTACAAAGAGTCGTCACACACAATAGCGATATACGTGCTTTATGTACATATATTGCAGAACACAAAAAATGACACGAAAGACCATTAGGCGTGGACAAATAGCTGTTTTCTCACAATCAACATGTGTAAGTACAAAAAGTATTCTTCACAATATGGTGAACGCACTCTGAATAAATGCGCAGGTTGTAATAAATCATTTCCTACCTCGTGCTATTTTTTGTGATAAAGATGACCACAGGGAAGAAAAATTACTTTTTTTTCATATTTTGATTGATTTAAAGAGTCAGTAAACAGCATTCGACCATTTTTTTACACTCTCTAAACAAGCGCACGCATTTTTTTTGCCCCTTACCAACCTTGTCCACGCGCAGGGACGTCCCTTCGGCGATTGGCGACGTTGACTTTATTACTCTTTGTTGAGGCCTCGTTTAGACCAATCGACAAGCTGCGTGCTGCGCCACGTCACTGATCACCGAGTTGACGTCACAGCGCGTGGAAGGAGATTGGTCACGCGCAGAAAAAATGCACGAGCTTTTTCTTCGCGTTTCGGAGTCTGCTGACTGGCCCTTCAATGTATGTTTATCGCTCGCAGTACTCTATTGACGACAGTGCCACTGAGTCAAGCAACGAAATTACTATGTACACAAATCTAACTATAAAAGGCAAAACGCTTTACTGCTATATTGCAAGTTTTCACGCCAACTTTTTCTTCAAAGGTTGTCGTTGTGCGTTTCAAGGTTTCTAAGACTGTTTTTGCCAGTGTTCTTATCTCCGAAGGCGTCTAGTTAAAAAAGGGTGTGATTATATAAAATCTCAATAACACATACTTGTCGTAAATGAAAGTACGTCAACTTTTAAATGGCAATATTTGTGAAGAAACAGTTGCAATTGACTTATCCGGTATGACCGTCATGATCACTTCATCAGCTATTATCGTCATGAAATATCTGCACAATGCTCAGCATTTAGTACGTTTAGATTTTGTGTAAAGAAGGAAGTATTATTGTGTAGGAGTTCTGAAGACTTTCAATCACTGTGAAAATATTGGAATGGCATCGAAGTACTTGGCAATGCTAAGAAATAACGTGGCCTGGTGTGTTATTGTCGCGTAGTGCTAGTGGCGGCCAGCTGGCTAGTGAAATAAAATAACAAAAGATAGTGGCTCTTGGCGTGAGATGCCTTGAACGTTCGTGTGCTTCTGGCTGGCCGCCACGGCTGCCGCTCTACTTCGGCAGCTCGCTTCATCCCTGAGTCATCCTTTAATTAAACCAGCCCCGACGACACGTCTACAACGGATGCCACCACGTCGCTACATAATCAAAGAAAAGGTGCGCTATAGGTTTATACAGCATAGTCTACACGAACTTGAAGTAGAAAAAAAAGCAATTTTGTGATGTGGTACAGTGTTTTGTAGCTAATTGTCATAAGATATTTTAAAAATTATGAGGCTCTCTTGTTTATTTGCTAAATTATTCTATACAAACATTCGCAACTACCAAAAACGATTTTGTTTCGTGCCTTACAAAACTACCTAAAAGTAGATGTTTTTCTATGCAGCATTCACGCACTTTGAGCAGCTTACCCCTTTCCCACACAATTTGGCAGCACTTAATTTGCCCTTCACTTGAGCTTAATTACAGCAACACTACACATGGACTGCCAAAATGAAAAAAAAAATGTAGAGACCTGCACTTGTTTTGCGCATTCGGGATGAACAAAAGGATGGGTGAAATAGCACTGAAACTCATTGAAAGCTCTCAAGACGATATTCAGATGCCAAGTGAAAAATATTGTAGGTGGGTATATCAGACAAAATCCTTAAGTAAATTAAAAAAAATCTACAGCTCTGTAGTGTATAGTGGGGTCTCTTGAGCTTGTCTAGACAAAAACATAGGTTAGGCATCAATGGATGCATAGGGTGGTCCGAGTCTCATTGTACATTGTACTGTTTGCTCGGGTTATCTCCCATTCAAGTTCAACTCAGGAAAATCACAACTGAGCATTTGTTCTAAAGGTCTCTAGTCAGTGCTATCGCATGTCTCCGATGAGGTCGATCTTCTTTTGGTGTCTTCAGCAGGCAGACCCCGACATCAAGGCAGCGACATTCTCATATATTGGCTCATCTGAATGGAAAAAGTCAATGAAAAACAAGAAAGTGGGTGTGTGCTGTAGATTGGACAGTTTCACCAACAAATTAAAGGTAAAGATATAAGCGTATCTATGTATGATGCATTTCTCATACTTTTTTGCTTATTTTGATCCGGTAAGTGTATGCACAAGCAATATTTACCATAAAAAGTACTGCAGTGAACTCTGTAGTAGCAGTAACAAAATATTTGTGGCCCCTAAATAACAATGGACGTTTTATTTCGTTGAGCAAGCACTTTGGTCTAGCGTTTTCTTTTTTCACTAAACATCAAGCTAAAGTTCTTTTACCATATTTCAAGGATTCGCTTTATTTATTTTGTTTTTAAATAATTTTATTAGCTACCTAATCTAACTGTGAATTCAATAAATAATCAGAAAACAAGCATCAAATTTAACTTGTGCCACCTGGTGAAGGAATGGTTATAAGCGATTGAAAAAATTCTTGCTCTAGCTTTCGTCTTAGTGAGATGACAATTATTAGGTAGCACATAGTTGCACTATGTCACAATCTGATAACAAGACAACCATGGCTCATGTGTTATGAAAAACAAAAAAAATAGTATTAGAATGTCACGTAATACCTATCTTATCCTAATATCCTGAATTCTGCCAGAATGTTTCGTGAACTAGCAAAGCAGAACACAGAAGCCTTCTTTCAAACTTTGTTGTGTCCTTCTTCACCATTTCATTTAAAACGCGTTTCAGCTCTGTTAGACTATAAAATGTGTGAAGTACTTTGCCTACTTGCTTTTATTTCTAGTTTAGTGATCTGCATCAATATTTTACATTCGCTATAAGGTATATAATTATAAAAGTGTTCCCCGGTTTTATAAAAATGTGGCCATTGAATTCACTTCAGCTGGGAAAAGAATTACGTTGTCCTTATCTAGCTACGTCATACTTTATGGCTAATATTTTCTTCGGCCGCACTGTTCGTCCGTTGCATGAAAACCCTTTCATGTAAAAAAAAACCATCATAGTGACGCCTGAGTTGATGCTGATAGGGCTAGCATACGTTTTTGTTATGGAGGATTGTTCGATATGGCTTATCTGTTCGAAAAAAAATTGTAATGTAATTTAGTTTGTGTAATGTTTGTTACTTACTTTGTACTGTGCTTCCATAGATCTCGTCGATAACGGAGGCCACACAGTGGTATAGGTAGGTGTATTGTTTCTGCACCAAATAAGATTCAAACAACTCTGTCAATGGTGAAGGAAAAAGCACTCCGATAATTAGCTTAGTGGGCTACTTGCTCATTCATACGTATAATCAAGAGTGCAAAGAAGCACGACTACACACAAGACATGCTCGCTTCTAGGTGTTATTTCTTTTGCACGAGTGCTTCGTATATAAACCTGTTAGCGAAGGCAGACACATTTGGTGCATAGCGGTGCTGTTTTCGTAGCCATGATTTCTTCAACTGCCTGTGATTAGTCAGGGAGCTTGGTGTATTTGGGCCGCCGACAATACTTCTACTGCGATGGCAATTATATGGACACTCTCAGCTGAATTTCACCGCGAGCATTACCGTCACTTACCACATATGTGTAGGTATCTATATATATGAAAGCGCGGGAAAGAATAATAATCCAGGAAGAGAATACAGCACGAGGAATTGAACATTCGACCTATCTTTCGTGAACGCGCGGCGTTAGCCACTGAGCCACGAAGGAGCACCTCCATCAATGTTGAAACGTCAAGCTATCTACATCCAGCACGGCGGAAATAGCGTGTTTTCTGAATTACCAGCCAGATGGTGCGATGAGCGCTCTCAGCGTTATGAGGTTGGTGCTCAGCTCTATGCGATGCGCGCTCATCTCCCGCGCGTGATTTACTCCGCGGAGGGAAGGGCCGGAGAATCGCGCGCCTTCAGTTTTGCAACGCTGCGCTTCTAGTAGGCAGTGAAATAATTGGTAGCAACACATTTTTAAGCCACGTGGCACAAACTACAGGATGCAGGCACTGCACAGAAGTTAAGCACACTCTCAAAAACAGTTGCGACTGCTACTGAAAACAATGCGAAAAGCCTTATAAATTGACTACTGAACAGCATAGTTAGTGCTAGAGCAAGTTTTAATTCAGTATTTTACACCGAAAGTTGTATGAGACCGCTTTTGGGGTCACGTGCAGTTATTGTTCACCGCCGCCGCCACCGGGGCTCATAACCACATCACACGAAATTAGAAAAAAAAACACCTTGCATTAATGACACGGTGGGGCTTGAACAAGGGTCAGCTGCATGCCAGCCCAGTATTCTACCACTTAGTTACGCCGGTGGTTATAACTTGTTTTTAAACTTGCCTTAGCTAGTCATGACCTAGCACCAATGGCACAGTGGGGATCGAAGACGGGTCCGCTGGGTGCCAGCCCAGTATTCTACCACGGAGCTACACCAGTGCTTGTGACTTGTCAAACTTGCCTTAGGCAGGCTTGATATTGTGGAAGCAATCGCATTAATGCGACTTTTATAGCGTTTTACAACAGCGAAAGAACAACCAGTCGTCGCACAATGCGAATAGCGAAACGCGTGGCCCGTCCGATGCTCCAAACCATCACAAAGCTGATTCTTGTTTCTTTATTAACTGTGGCGCATACCCACTTCAGCCGTAATTCGTCATCATCGTCAGGCACTGAATGGACAAATGACACAAAATGTCTTGCTAATGTTTAAGGGCACCGGGCTCCTCAAAACAATGACGAAGTATAGCAAAGCGAATGCCGGCCTATACTACCCAAAATCTTATTATAATTGCCCTAATGGTACCAAGCAAGTGTGCTTACACTAGTTCCCAATGAGTGTTTTGCAAAGGCTCTGAAATGCCGCTCTTCTAGCTTTCGCTGTGACTGTGCTGCACCTATGGCGCAGGCCTGACGTTTTATTCATAAGTTATGCTTCTTTAATCTTACTGAAGAACATAAATGCATAAGTCATTAAAAAATCCTGCAAATGTGGGCTTCTCGCAGGACAGTCTGAATGTGAAAATTTTACATGATGTAATCATTCCGTTTTGCATGCCGAATCGGGTGCAGTGCTGGCACATGCCTCTCCGAGCGAATTACATTCACGATGGGTACGTAACACCACAGTCTCTCCAAAGCGCTTCCCCCTTGCGCTTCGAAGCTGAACGCGCGAAAATTGTCGCTAGTCACGCACCTCGTTTTGTACCATGCATCTCCTGCACTCTCGCAGGTCCAAGACAAGGTGAAAGATGTCGATATCTTCATCCACTTCGAGCTTCTGCAGGCACATGTCAAGGGCGATGAAGGTGCCTGTCCGTCCCACACCAGCGCTGAAAGCAGCAAGAGGCTAAGTAGGCAAGTTACATGCACACGAAATAAAGAGAAGTTGGGGGAAATGGCAGGCCGCTATAGTGCATCGATCGCAACAGTCGAAGCAAAAGAATTTGAGACAAATGTCGTGAGCATTATTTTCATTTTCTTGTAGAGCCTGGGGGGCGCCCGGTATGACTTACTTCAGGTGGCACGTAATAATGAACATTACAAAGAAGTTGAGCCAATTATGTTACGATCACAAGCAACTTTGCTTATGGCGAGTGTGCCAGAAACGTACTTGAGATGAAGATAGCGAACGTTATTTTTTTTCTTGTGTGTAACCGAAAGCTTGGCGGGGCCGGTGCGTAAGGTGAATAGGCGACCACTTGTCGGCTGTTCAAAACTAAATATAGCTTGTTGAAGGTCTACGCAAAACTTCTCTGGTCTTTGTTGTTGCTGGCACGAATGTCGCAACAAATTTCTTAAGAAACTTCTCGCAGTGTCGGTACCCTGTGTAAGCATGGGCCGCAATGCCACAGAAATAGAAATTCCGAAACTCTATTGTATGGCAACTCCTCATCAATGGTGGAGAAATCACTGAGCATGGACCCTTGGTCATGAGCCAACGTCTTGAACCTGACGCCATGAGCCGAGCGCACCATTATCCCGCCCTCCAAGTAAAGTGAATGAGCAGGACTGTTTATTTAGACAAGGAGGCAATGAGCGGCCGCCATTCAATCATGTGGGCAGGACCTTTGCGTTTTTTAAGCTGTGTCAAAATATTGTTGCGTAAGCCACCTATTAGTAAAAATTTATTGTGAAAAAAAAAGTTACTTAGAAATAGAGGTAGATGTACATTATTCATAACATTTCTTGGCGGAGCATGTATGGCCACAAAAATAAGTAATGTAAACGAAAATAGAGCTTTAAATTGCTACAAAAATAAAAAAAAACAGATATGATGCGGGAATGGCCGCGTATATTAAATACGACAAATAAGTAGAAGTATCTGGATTTGAAACGTGGCATTATCCCATATATTAGAATGAAACCTCAAGTTACGAAGCGTTCAGCAAAAACCACGGAAAAATGCTGGGAACTATTCAAAATTTTATGGTCGCTAAAAGCGTTCGTTATTGACCGATTCGCTACAAATGGTTATGTCACACTAGATGGCGTCATCACTTCTGGACTACACTTTTGACCGTCTAAACCTGTTGAATATTGCTTTCATCTGATTTGAAACAAAATAGTGATAATTTAAATGGGGTCTCAGGCCTTTGCTCTGTGTGAATGAAAGCAATATTGGTGAACAGTGCCAACACTGATTTTTTTTCTCAAACGGAATTTGAAAAACACACCATGAGACACTTCTTAAGAGACGTTGTCTGTTCTTTACAACATGAGCTTGCATGGTAATAACAATTGTAGTATTGTTTATTTCTATGATATCCTTGTGATGTTAGTGGTTTAAATGACTTGAAGGTTTTAAAGGCAAAGTGATTTTTTTGCTATTTCACTATAAAAAAAACAAAGGGCTCGAAGTAGAGCCTCGACGAAATATTCAACTTTCACGACGTATTTCGACAAAGCGTGGAAACGTCCATAGTGGGAATAAAGTAAAATTGGAAATATTCCACCCGGTGTAAAAAAGATAACTAATCGCACTCACAAAAACCAATGTTTGAAAGCTTCAGAAATATAGTTATGCATCTTGCTGCAAAAAAAAAAAAAAATGCGCGTGTGCGCAGTCTCATATATTTCATTCCGTACACAACAGCTACACAAACAGGTTTAGGCCTGAAAACAAGCACAGCGTTTGTTCTTGACTATTTTCTGACATTGGCCGGACAGATTTGCTGTATATATGTTCCGCGGTGCATTTTATTGAAGTGGATTGCTTGCGACGAAATCTGTCGCAAAATGTTTCTGCATTCATGCACTGTATTTACAAGAACATGAACGTCATACTAAAAGAACCTTGATGAAGAAATGGTTACGATCATTTTGAGCCCTTCCTAAAAACGCAGTTCGTTCGTCTCACGACATTAGGAGTGAGGTATATAATGATGGACGACTCAGTTGTAAGGGACATTAGCACCCACCTTCGCAAACATCGTGCTTATAAAACAAAATGTGTAAAACGGGTAAATGATTTGTGGCGAGTGATCGCAAATCTTTGGAAACACGATGAATGGAAGACGCTTAAGCCTGGAATAAGTACACAAACGCCATTGCTTAAAACGATAAAGTTAAAACGAAGCGAAGTCAACTTAAATTTGCCTATATTTTTGTTAACAGATCATTTCAGATGTTTTAGACTATTTCAATTTCGCCATTACTACATTTGAGGTAGCCAATTGATCTTCAGCTTGGCACCGTGTATTTGTGGCTGTTAACCAAGTTAAATGAAGCGATTCCGTGGTAGAGTAGCACTGTTTTTTTTTTTCATCCTAAAATTGAAATTGAGAACCGCACCACGAGACCCTTTTTAGAGGTATGTCCTGTGCTGTAAGACATGACCTCGTGTGGTGCTATTACTCACATGACAAAGTATTGACTGCGCTAGCTCTGGCAAGCTAAAAAAAATGGCATTGTTTTGAATAACCTAATACAAATAAGACACGCTTAGCGAAGCCGCCTATGTTGCCATTCGTCCAACTTAATGATCGCTTCTACATAACTTTTCAGTCTCTTATTTATTGTCCTGTCGATACGCATTTTTTTTTTACCGCTGAAGCGCAGGAATTCATGCGGAACCTGAGCTGTGTTTTGCAGGCACCATTCAAGGCCTGGTGCAAGTACGTACATTCAGTCACACACATCGAGCAGGAAACCTGCCTCCACCTTGAATACCCAATTGCGAGGCGGAAACGGGAGGGTACATAGACTGGACACGCCCAGTATAGACGACAGGTGCAGCCATTTTACTGAATGTGGCGTGCGCGGTTTCCTTCCGTCGATATTTAAATTGGCGCTGACAACATTCATCACACTGGCACTTTCGTTTCGTATGCGAAAACACATATCGAGCAAGTACCGAAGACGGGTCTAGCCTTTTTTTATTACTGTTTGCCTTTTTTTTCTGCTTTTTTCACCTGCAATGACAAACGGAGCGGCAGGAAGCAGTTGAAGGTTTCCTTAGAGGAAGTGCATGCTGATGCGGTACTTTGAAGCAGCTGGAGCCATAGAATCGGATGCTAAAAGTTTGAGAGCCTTAGACGCTGTCACAAAGTCATAGGGTGACGTCATCACATAATTTTATGTACAAGTGCCGCCGACAACAACAGCCGATTCTCGCGTTTGATAGTGTATCAAGGCACTGATGCTCACACACACACACACACACACACACACACACACACACACACACACACGCACGCGCGCGCGCGCGCGCACATGCACGCATGCACGCACGCACACCCATACACACAGAGAAAAAGCAGCGGGAAGGGAGAGTGCATTGCGCCTCCCTGTAGTGCCATTGAAGAGCAATAGCCGCAAGTAAAAGAGACAGCGTTAATAACTTTTATACCGGCTGTTAGGTACCACCAGTAGGTTGATTTCTTCATGGAATCGTAAGCTTATGGGCGGTTTTCCGCAGCGGCGAACGGGCGCTGCCACGTTTGAACACGTGATCTGGTGGCCTTTTCTCACTTCTTCACCATCGCCGATGGCCGGTCAATAGCCACCGCCACTTTCGATTGGATTGGATAACCTTTTATTTGGTCCTCCAAAACACAGATCACTGTGTTGCGGGCAGCTTCCACGTGGGGACTGAGATGCAAAGCTCCTCAGCCGCCTCGTGGGCTTGGTGGCCAGCCCAGAGCTGATCTGCCAAGGAAGAGCTGCGAATTGCCGCCTTCCATCTGGCAGAGGTGATGTTCGATAAATGAGCGAATTTGGTGCACTGCCAGAGCATGTGTTCTAATGAAGCTATTTCCCCACAATGTGGACAAAGATTACTTGGGTATAGGTCAGGGTACAAGATGTGTAACATTTTCTAAATAGGGTGCATCCGCGTTTGCAAAAGCCTTAATGCAAGTGCTTGGGGCCGAGTTAGATTTTTGTGAGGTGAAGGGAAGATCCTTCTAGACAGTTAGAAATATTTAGTGAGCTCGTTATATGTTGTAAGAATTTCCCGGTTATCCCCTTTACCGGTAGAACGCATACCTGGGGAGTTGAGGCCAGCAAAGTGGGCGCAGCGCGCAGTCCGCGCCTTCCGTTCTTCTCTTTTAGGGGCGAAGCTTCCTATAGCGGCACCCGTTCGTCCCTCGTAGCCGCTGTAGTAGTGTGTAACAAGTATAACATTTTGACCTCCAAGGTGTTGCTAGTGAGAGATTTCTTCTGTGCGTTGTTAAACAATAAAAGATAGTGCTCAATGTACATGCCAATGGCTGCTAAGGGAGAATGAGAGACAGGAGAATTTAGCTTTTAGTTAACGTGCACGCTGCAATTTTTTTATTGTTCAACAACGCACAGAAGACAAGAAAGGATTCCCACGTTATACTCGCTGGGCGTAACCTTTTAGAAAGGTTTCGCGAGCGTTGGGCCGCAGTGCCATGAATACAGTGAACTAGTATATACCATGAACTCGAGGCGGTTAAAGGTGGGAAGTAGACCCGAAGCGCAAGCCGTAAGAAAGTGTGCGTGTGCCTCCTTTCGTTGAGTCCTTTGAATGTCCGCTGGATGGCGGTGCTTTTGTTTAGGGAATATATGATGAAAAGATGCAAGATGGTGGTACTTGGAGTGTTGAATAGGGGGACGAATGGACACACAGACAGATGCATGGACGGACGCACGGATGACTGCACGGACGGATGGATGCATGGACGAACGCAGGAGCAGATGCATGGATAGACGGAGGAGAGAATGCGAGGGCGAAAGCAGGAACCAACGCACAGATGAACGTGCGGACGCACGAACAGACGCACGCACGGTCGGGCGGATGAACGCACGAACGGCCACACAGACGCACGCATGGATGGACGGAAGCAAGAGCGATTGGACGGGCTTA